TTTTTTTTGGTGTTGAAGCGTCAGTGTGTCAGCAGGTGAGAAACAGCGTAAGTGCGGCACCGCCCACAGCCAAACCAAGATCAAAAATCTGAGGTTGTGAGTGTCAGATCAGTGTGTCTGATCACACTGATCTGAAAGGCTTCTGGTGTCTGCAGAGAGAATGATAACTTCCGAAACATTTAATTTGGTTCTTCAGTAATTGAGGGGGAAAGTCTTTTGTCCTTTAGGGATGTATCGTCGTCTTTTCGTGGTTGCCAGTCTGCTGTCATCCTATATGGGTAAGAAAGAGTGCTGGGTTATGCTGATTTTGTTTAGAGCAACGATTTAATTCACGTTCAGTCAATGAGAAAAGTAAATGAGAAGTGCCAAAGAATGTTAGGGATTTTACTGAAAGGCAAAATTAAAAGGTCGGTTAACTGCAAAACGCCCTCGTCATGCATCGCTGTTATCAGAATAAAGATCACAGGAGCCAACAGGTTTGTTTTCAGGATTTCTTTAAATTAACTTTTTCCAAGCGGTGAACAGTGATTCCTGGCCATCAACAGGATACTTAACAGCACAAGCTCAACATGACCTTCCATTGCACGTGCTGCGGATCCAAGCAATACTGCGATTGTTTGTCTTCCACTAGTGCAAGAAAGTGTTTGTTTAAACGTCACCTGCTGCCGTTACCTCTGTAAATCATGCCAAACCAGTTAGCTGAAAAATAATAACTCTGCGTCCTCAGGTCAAGCTTCAAATCTGCAGTGATCTCAGGACGTTGTTAAGAGATTTTCAGAATAAAAGCAGAAAAGGAACTTTTCAACATTATAGACAGGATTTCATATTATATAATCTGAAGTAGTGCTGTATAATTACTACAAACACTGTAGTCATAGTATTTTTAACCAGTGTTGAAATTATGGTTATTTAATGTAATTACTTACAAAGTTTGAAAAAACAAAACCATAATGCATTTAAAAGTAACCCCAAATCAATACGAATATAATACATCTATAAATGGATAAGAGAGGAAGAGAAAATAACAGATATGTCAATTAAATGTGCCACAGTCTAGTGCAGAGTGAATTTGGGGGACTTGAAAGAGGAAAAAGCACAAACATAATTGTGAACAGCAATGATGTGCAATCATTTAATCATAATTGTTCTTTAATTGTTAAAGATGCACACACTGCATGCCTGAATCAAATGAAATGTACGGTTTGTTAACTGGTGCAGAACTGTGCACCATGTTCAAAGTTTCTGATGCTCAGTTTGAACGTCACCAGGTTGTCTTAACCATGTCTGCATGTCTTAATGAGGAGTTGCTGCCATGTGATTTGTGTGAATAGATATTTGCACTGACATGCAGTTGAAGTGGTGTACCACATAAAGTGTATTTCTATGCATCTTGCTCATGTAAATGTCACAATTATCTGTGTCCTAACAAAGTGTGGGACATAGAGTATGTGTGAGACAGTGTGGGACATTTTCAATTATATACAAACTATACATCTTACAGGTTTGGGGACTTCCCCACCTTACCTCATGAACTATTCCTTTCCTCTTCTGTCAAGCAGTGGAAAAGTGTTGTTCACTGATGTGCACGTCTAATTCAACCTGTGTTATCATCACTGGCCAATATCTTAATCACGCTGAACCAACCAGGGAAACTGTGCAAACCTCAATAGATGGACTCGTGCCAATAGTTGTATCATTAACCGAATACTATGCATTTAAAAATAAATGCCATCAGAAATGCAGTGCATTCAGAAGTTCATGATTAATTGGATGAGAGAATATTTGAGTGACTAAGCCGTCATTGTTGCGTCACAGGAAAGTACTGCTGCAGGTGAAAAAGATAATAAGTGCCAACAGCTGATTGTGGCATTCAA